ATACCGGCAATTTGAACGTGAGACGGATGAGGATCCAACTGCAGCTTATTTGCGAGTCTCGATGTTATAAAATGATCCTGATAGTTCCTGACCTGCAGCGCACAGTGACTCGTTTTCTGAAAAAAAAATCTACAGCAGGAGAGTTCCATTATTTTACGTTTAATTGTTCAATGTTTTTACTTGCCTTTGTTTGGACGTTAACTTTTTATACCCGTACTCAAAAAAGAGTTAAGGGGTATATTAGATTTGTGGTAAAAGTGGATGTGTGTAACGCAGAGAAGGAAACGTTTCCGACCCCATAAAGTATATATATTCTTGATCAGCATCAATAGCCGAGTCGATATAGCCATGTCTGTCTGTCCGTCCGTCGTCCGTCCGTCCGTCCGTCCGTCTCGATGAGCGCCTGGATCTCAGAGACTATAAGAGCTAGCGAAACCAAATTTGGTTTCCAGACTTATGTGATATCCCACTGCTACAAGTGTATTTCAGAATTTCGCCCCGCCCCCTTTCGCCCCCACAAAGGACGAAAATCTGTGGCAGGCACAATTATAAAGATACGATAAAACTAAAAACGCAGTATCGTAGAGAATGCCCATATCTACCAGATTGCTGAATCTGAACTAGATCGGATCATAATTATAGCCAGAATGAAGAAATAAATTTTCTGTTGGTTCCCTCTCCTTCTCCAGCGCTGCTGACGCTACTGATTCTCTTTCTCGCTCGCACACTCTGCTGCGTTCAGTGCGCGAGCAACCCCTAGCGGAGGAGATGTAGAATATAAATGGAACATGTACAATCTACATGTTAGATGTAGAATATACATAGTATATGTAGATAACAGATGTAGCAAAAAAAAAGTAAAATTAAAATTTTTTTTTTTTAATTCTAAAAAATTATAAGATCAAAAATGTATATACTGACTGAGTACGGGTATAAGTAGAGTCGCGTCCCCAGAAGCGACTCACACGTTCCTTCTCGTTTTTGTAATAATTTAACTAGTAAAAATGTATACAAAATTATGATTTGTAGTAAAAAAAAAATCAATTTGCCTATTGTTCAATTTTATTTATATTTTTATACCCGTACTCAAAAAAGAGTTAAGGGGTATATTAGATTTGTGGTAAAAGTGGATGTGTGTAACGCAGAGAAGGAAAATTTTCCGACCCCATAAAGTATATATATTCTTGATCAGCATCAATAGCCGAGTCGATATAGCCATGTCTGTCTGTCCGTCCGTCCGTCCGTCCGTCCGTCCGTCCGTCCGTCTTGTTGAGCGCCTGGATCTCAGAGACTATAAGAGTTAGGGTAACCAAATTTGGTTTCCAGACTCATGTGATATCACACTGCTACAAGTGTATTTCAAAATTTCGCCCCGCCTCCTTCCGCCCCCACAAAGGACGAAAATCTGTGGCAGGCACAATTTTAAAGATACGATAAAACTAAAAACGCAGTATCGTAGAGAATGCCCATATCTACCAGATTGCCAAATCTGAATCAGATCGGATCATAATTATAGCCAGAATGAAGAAATTTAATTTTCTGTTGCTTTCCCTGCCCCCCCTCCAGCCAACGACAACTCAACTCATTTTCCATCTCGCTCGCACACTCTGCTGCGTTCAGTGCGCGAGCAACCCCTAGCGGAGGAGATGTAGAATCTAATTGGAACATGTACAATATACATGTTAGATGTAGAATATACATTGTATATGTAGATGTAGATAGCATATGTAGCAAAAAAATGTAAAATGTAAAATTTTTTTTTTTCTAAAATTCTTAAAAATCATAAGCTCAAAAATGTATATACTGACTGAGTACGGGTATAAGTAGAGTCGCGTCCCCAGAAGCGACTCACACGTTCCTTCTCGTTTATGATGGTTTTTAGGGTAAAGAAATGAAAGTTCGAGTTTGACCGTTAATTACTCCCCTTCCAGTGACACGTCTACTTTAATCTTTCTTTTATTTATTTTAAGTATTTGAAAATATGTGAATTACATTTCAGACTTATACCTAGCCAGGTTCAAAAGTTATTAATTTTGCAACGTGTTTTAAGAAAACGAACTGAATGACCTTTGTTGAGGCGGATTAGACATAAGCCTCCTTGTATCGAATAAAACCGGAAGGTTTAAAATGCCTGACATCGAGATATGTAGTGATCGAAGGATTTGCAATAATTGCATATGGATTTAGAATGGTCGTCAATGACAGTGATCAGGGTGCTAGGTTTGTTTTTCCCACCTGCTGGCTAGGACTTGTTACCATAGCCGATTCCAAATTCTCCAGCATTCGACATCTCGCTTTCAAGAATGAGGCCATGGCCGTCCACGAAGGCAATCTTGAGGTCGGAAGGTTCTCCTCCCATTTCTCTTGTGTTTTGTGGTCCGATTTCCGGCACACTATGTAAATGCACCGATCCAGGCTAAAACTACTCGACCTACCCTCCTTACACCATCGCAGAATTTGCAATGGCGTCTTATTCATTTACACGCTCATTCTCGGGCTTGTGGAATGCCAAACTCTGTTGGAACAGATACATTGTACAGTTCCTTCTAGACCAACCCGAACTTTCCGGCCGTTTACCCTTCTGCAGATCTAACTTCGCGCAGCACAAACCTTTCCGTGTTCTTTGCAATAATTACAATTCCTTTTACGTATCGATTGTACGTAACTTTTACCATCACCCTAACCTAGAAAATTTGTAAAACCTTTCTTTTCTTCATCTATTATATTTTTTCTTTAAGTATGTATATTCCTATTATAGTTCATAGTTAGCAGATAATTGTTAATTAACTGAAATAAATAAATAAATCAGCAAGCCATCCGAAATCTCTTGAGGTGTAGCCAAGATCTGAAGAGCAAACCGCTGGCCGAGCCCTTCTTCACCCCTTGAAGCCCGAAAATTGCCTTGACATGTGCCTGAAAATGCATAAGTTTATTATCAAATCGCAAATTTAATAAATTTAACACCTTGTCGCAATTTTCCTCAGAGAGCTCCAAGGAACCAATAGTGTCCAGCGCAGCACATCTAGGCATCCATGAAAATACTGGAATTTTCGATGATCTGTATACGCAGCTCCTTGTACAATTGTCGAGAACATTGAAAGGAATTCTGGCCAATCCACTAAATCGAGGAAGCTGCAGCTCGGGCAGTCGAGAACGGCCTATATCATAGCCAAAGCTCCACGCGAGCAGACATCAAATACTGCGACAGCTTGGACCCTGACCTTCAGATAACCATTAGAAAACTCCAGCCGGGCATCATTAGCTAATAGCCGCAAATCTAGCCATTCAAGGCTCGTTTGCGCAGCATCGAAATCCACGTTCAATCGCTTGAGCTGCTCTACGCGAGCCTGAAGTTCTGCCTCATCCAAACGAGTTAGCTCCACGGCTTAGAAGTAAAATTAAACTGTATGATCTTTAATGAAATCCGAATTGCAAGTGGTCTTGCTTGCCCTTTGCATTTTAGATCCGATCGCTGAGCGCAGCTTCGCTCGACATAGAACATAGAATTCAGCAGTAAACAAACATATGCGGCTGAAGGCCAATAACGACATTGGTAAAGCAACTAGTCGGCTAAGTTCTGTTCCGAACAGGCTAATAGATACCTTTTCACAGAAATCTTATGCCATATTAATTAGGTAATCCAAAATCCACAATCCAAAATTGTAATATTCTGATTAATTAATTAAAATTATAAAAACCATTAAGGAAATCTCTCAAAAATCGCTCAATTTTTCTTGCACTTGTCATAGAAAAAAAGAGAGGAGCCACGACCCCGTTTCTGCTTCCTTTCCGCGTTTTTTTCCATTTCACAATTGTTGTTATTCCGCTACACATGTTTTTCTCTCTCTTACACCAACACTTGATTCAGTGTCATATCAAAGGTGCCAGCACAACTAATATAATAGAACTAATATATCTGAGAACACGGCGTCAAGCGAGACGGACGGACAGACAGACATGGCTATATTGACTGGGCTATTGATGCTGATCAAGAATATATTTAAATCTATACTTAATGGGGCCGGAACCGCTTCCTTCTTGGTGTCAGACATATCCACTTCCACCGCAAAATTAATATTAGCTCAAAACATACTTCGGTTTTACAAAAGATTTTTCAAATTTGACGTGTTTTTTTGTGCGAGCCGCGAAACTTTGAAAGCAATATCGATAAGTTCTGAGCCGCTTACACTATCCGTTACCATTTTTCCTCTTCGAACCAAACCAACTTTGTTTGATCGATTTTTGGCCTTTAAACATGCTTAGGGATAGTTTTTTTTTTCTGTCAGAACTTTTTTATGTATATATTTTTATATATACAAAAAATGCTAATTTTGTCCAATCAAATCCTTGTTATTTTTTTATTTATTTCTTAATTATGTATATAGAAATGAAACAAAACAATAAATACAATCAAAAAAGATCTGCTTCGTTAAAAGTTAAGTAATTAAAAAAAAAAATTCAAAGTATTTTGCACGTTTGCAATTTTTAATAATAATAAGTTGTTTTAAAGTGTTTTGTGCAAAGGCCCTTAGCTTTTTAAGTATTTGTTGTTTATATTTTACAAAGGAATATATGTACTGGCAACAAAGTTCAACTTTGAAAATTTATTGAAAAGCTTCTAGACACTATATCACCATATTATCTTGAAAATTAAATTTTTAAAGATTTATACAGTCATGTGATTAATAATAAGGACACTTGGCCATGTTCCAGAAAATGCTCTATAAAATTACTATTTTCTGGAATTTTGCGGTTATATTAATTATACCCGTACTCAGAAAGAGTTGAGGGGTATATTAGATTTGTGGTAAAAGTGGATGTGTGTAACGCAGAGAAGGAAACGTTTCCGACACCATAAAGTACATATATTCTTCATCAGCATCAATAGCCGAGTAGAGAGAGCCATGTCTGTCTGTCCGTCTTGTTTGTCGCCTGGATCTCAGAGACTATAAAAGCTAGAGCAACCAAATTTTGTTTCCAGACTTATGTGATATCACACTGCTACAAGTGTATTTCAAAATTTCAGTGATCAATCAGCTCTCATTACGCTCGGACGTGTTCTCGCTATGTCGCTTTATCACTGCTCGGAATGCAATTCGGACGTCACTGCCGCTCAGCTTCGTTGCTTTGATGCTGTTCGGTGTTCTTCTATATGTCGACGTGCGTTTCATTTGACGTGCATTGATCTGCACTCAGATGCCGTAAAACTGTTAATAAATCTGCCTAACCTGTTATGGCAGTGTGATAACTGTGTGGTTTCTAATGACTCGCATTCGAAAATTGACGAAATTAATGATAAGGTTCTGAAGCTTGAAAGCCTTTATCGGGATCTCAAGTCGGACTTACAGGGCCTTTCCGTCAATCCTAAGCGGGTGAAGCCTACTAGGAAAGAGGCCAACAAGCCCATGCCAGCGGCTGACTTTTTGTCTCCGCGACTAGGGGCCGCCACCTCGACGGCGGTCATTGAACCGGAATCAGCTGCTGCTCTTCCATTAGATTTGGATGGCTTTGTCACAGTGAGAAAGAAGGAGAGGAAGAATAGAAACAAAAACACTAAGCGTTTTGTTGGTATTGCTCCGAGCTGTGAGCAGCTAAACGTTATGCAGAGTAACAAATACATGCATATCGGTAAATTTTCTACCGCGACGGAGCCAGAGGCGGTGGCAAAATTTGTTGCCGAACAACTTAAGGTGCCGGTAGCGAAAATTTCTTGTACGAAGCTAGTCAAGCGAGATGCTGATATATCTTCGTTAAAGTTTGTCAACTTCAAACTTGGGGTCCCTGAGGATCTATTTGCTGCTGTCTTTGAGGACAAGTTTTGGCCTGTCTCAGTAAGGGTTTCCCGCTTTGTACATAGACAGAGGCCGGACGCTGACCTGACGGCAGTAGATCTCCGCGCTATCGTACCGTTGCGGACGTCCACGCCCACTCAGGAAGGTCCAGTTCCGTCCACTTCAAAAAACCCCCAATGAGCGGCGCCTCTGCGTTCATGATCGGCGCTTTTCAACAGAATTTTCTACCTGCACCTGTTCGCCTCTTTGCTGTGAGCAACCGCCTATGCGATCATATTTGGCATTCCCCGTCGACGCAACAACTACAACATATGCATTTTTCGCGCTGCGCTTTGTGCGGCATTCGCTCGGCTGCTGCTGGATCGGATGTCGATGCTCTTGCTGGCGCTCTCTTTCGACTGCGTGAGTGTTTAGCGTCACCCCCACAACTGTTACATTGCTTCGTGTGCTATGCTTGTGTCGGCGCTGCACTCGACACTTGGGGAGAGTCAGCGGTCCGGCGCTTGCTCTTAAATGGATCTCTCTCTTCAGCACCACTGTCAACACATTCAGGAAGAGTGGGTCTCCCAGCACCGTTCCCGCCCAGTCTACTCGATGGGGATGGGCTGCTGATCCGCACTGCGACGATTCGGCAGGCTTCCCATGTGAGTCTGGCCCCTGTTGCTCAGTGGAAACTGCCTGGTGCTGCTCTGGAGCCTCCTCCCGTGGCCACTGGCCGGACGTCATTGCCACTCTCTGGGACCATGCTGATGGACGGGGCCAAATCCATTCGCATTTTCTTTCAAAATATAGCAGGTATGCGCACTAAGGCTCAGGCTGTCTACTTGGCAACCTCTACGTGCGATTTCGACGTAATCATCTTGGTTGAAACCTGGCTCAATGAAAACTTCTTCGACAACGAGTACTTCGATCCCAACCTTTTCCAAGTGTTTCGTAAGGACAGAGATTGTGCCAAAACGAAGCGTCGGAGAGGAGGTGGTGTCATTGTGGCCGTCAGACGCACCCTACGCTGTGATCCGATTTGTCTCCTTGATGGTGACTCTATCTTGGATCAGATTGGTGTGTCAGTGGCCGGTCAGTCGGAGACGCTATGTATCAGCGCGTCGTATATTCCACCGAATAGCAGCTATGAAGTCTACAAGGCGCACACGCTGAATATTGCCAACATATATGGTAATCTACGAGGCCGTCAGCATCTTTGCGTAGTTGGCGATTTTAATCTGGGCTCCTTGGTATGGTCCGCTGATCCGCAGTCTGCGGCTATGATGCCGAGTAATGCGCATTTACAGCACGAAGTTCTTTTTCTGGATGACTGTTATAGTATGGGCTTAACCCAAATAAATAATGTTTTTAATAGGTTAAATAAGATTCTAGATTTAGTTTTTGTTAGTACTGATATTGGTTGCCCTGTTGCACGTTGCGAGCTGCCTATTGCAGAATGTGACATGCATCACGTGCCGTTGGTCTTCTCAGCTAAATTCTATAGTTACTCGCCCTGGTCTGAACCCAGGTTTGAATATATTTTTACTGATGTAAGTTTGACTACTATACGGGATGACATGTTAAACGTAAACTGGGCTTCTGTTCTTTCGCATCCTAGTGCTGACTCTTCTTACACTGTTTTCATTAGTACCGTTCATAATATTGTTGATAATAATGCTTCCAGAAGAGTGCGTGGCTCGTATAGGCTACCATGGTATACGAAGGGTCTTGTTAGGTATAAGAATCTGCGTAACAAGCTCTTTAAACGATTTAAGAAAACACGTGACTCTGTTGACTGGACTAGATACGTGCAGCATAAGCGGGAGTTTGATTTTTTAAACAAATTTTTATATAATCAGTATATTGCTGACGTTGAAAGGGGACTTAAGGTTAATCCTAAGTCGTTCTGGCATTTCATAAATTCAAAAAGGTCGACGAGTGCCCTTCCTTCAGCCATGAACCTTGGTAACTTGAGCTCAAATACTGATAGTGGCATAGCAAACCTTTTTGCTTCTTTTTTTAGCTCAAATTTCGAGCCATACACAGTTTGGCATGATTCTGATGTCTTAGACTCTATCCCTTCAGTGGTCAATATTGGCTCGCTTGATGTATCGGAGGTGGACATTTTGGAGGCAATTGCTGATTTCGACAACTCAAGTAAGCCCGACAGTTATGGCATTTCTGCCTTTCTGCTTCGCAACTGTGATGTTGCTTTTTGTGAGCCTCTTAAAATTCTGTTCAAAAATTCTTTGGTAACGGGTCAGTTTATTAAAAAGTGGAAAGCTGCCACTATTACTCCCGTTTTTAAGAAAGTTGCTAAGAATTGTATCTCTAATAATAGACCAATTGCCAAACTCAGCAATGTCTCAAAACTTCTTGAGCGAATCATTGCCAAAAAGATCTCTTTCCTCATGAAGTCGTACATAAGCCCAAATCAGCATGCTTTTATGCCGGGTAGATCAACGACCACTAATTTGGTGGCCTTCAGTAATTTTTGCACACATGACTTTGAAAGGCATTCTCAGGTCGATGTAGTGTACACTGACTTTGCTAAGGCTTTTGACAAAGTCTCCCACTGTGCCTTAGTAGCCAAGCTGCATCGGTTGGGGATTCATTCGAGCGTGCTTTGTTGGTTCATGTCGTATCTGGAGCAGCGAGAGTATGTTGTGTTGGTAAACGGAAATCAGTCGGACCCATATTTGGCTACTTCCGGCCTTCCACAGGGAAGTGCTCTTGGGCCGTTGCTGTTTGCTATTTTCATTAATGACATATGTTTCAGCATTCAATCTTCTGAGCATTTGCTTTATGCTGATGATCTGAAAATCTTCCGTCCTATCAAAACTTTAGGCGACAGTATCCGTCTTCAGCGAGACCTGGATGCAGTCGCTCGTTGGTGCACACATAATTCTCTGCCTTTCAGCATTAACAAATGTTACTTTGTGTCCTTTAGCAAGTGTGTATTCAATGTTCAGGCCTCATATTCTGTTGTTGGCCTTCCGCTCTTGAAGCATGCAGAGGCACTTGACCTAGGGGTCTTGTTCGATTCAAAATTTCTTTTTATCGAGCATTTGAACTTCATTTTGCCAAGAGCCTATGCTATGTTCGGCTTTGTTACGCGTAATTCATCCCAGTTTAGGGACCCATATACGAGGCTAAGTCTTTATTCATTTCTTGTGCGCTCGCGCCTTGAGTATGCTTCGGTGGTTTGGAACCCCACTGGGGTCGTTCAAATTGCTCGTATCGAGAGATTGCAAAGGAAGTTTTTGAAGTTTGCACTCCAGCCTTTGCAATTTTCCGTTCCGTTGCCGTCCTATGAGTGCAGATGTCGCCTCGTGCATCTCTCCTCTCTCGAGGATCGAAGGACTATTGCGGCTCAGTTATTTATATACAATATATTAGTTGGTAACATCGATTGCCCTGACCTGCTTGCTGGGATTAGCTTTAACACGCCTGCCAGGAGCCTTAGGGGCCATGCACTCTTTGTAGTTGATCTTCACCGGAACAATTACGGTAATAACGAGCCAATATGTAGGGCTCTTCGCCGGTATAATTCGCTACCTGCTGGGATGCGATTCGATTTTTGCCTTGGGAAAGGAGCCGTCAGACGGTTGCTTTCTGAGTTTTTCTTGTTTAATTGTTAGTTCCTCATTTTGTATTTACTTTTTAATGTAGAATTAAGTTAGTCTAGCCAGATAAGGTTTATCCGTTGGCGAATAAATAAATAAATAAATTTCGCCCCGCCCCCTTCCGCCCACACAAAGGACGAAAATCTGTGGCAGGCACTATTTTAAAGATACTATAGAACTGAAAACGCAATATTTTACATTTACAATTTTTTTTTTGCTACATCTGTTATCTACATCTACATCTATATTCTACATCTAACATGAGGATTCTAAATGTGCCGTGTCTCTTGCTGAAGTAGGCGCGGGAAGCAACTGAAAATTAATTTCTTCGTTCTGACTATAATTATAATCCGATCTGATTCAGATTCGGCAATCTGGTAGATATGGTCATTCTCTACGATATTACGCTTTTACTTTTCTGGTATCTTCAAAATTGTGGCTGCCTCAGATTTTCGACTTTTGTTGGGTCGGAAGGGGGCGGGGTGAAATTTCGAAATACACTTGTAACTGTGTGATATCACATGATTCTGGAAACAAAATTTTGTTTCTCTAGTTCTTGTAGTCTCTGAGATCTATGCACTCATCAAGACGCACAGACGGACATGGCTTTATTGACTCGGCTATTGATGCTGGTCAAGAAAATATATAATTTATGGGGTCGGAAACGTTTCCTTCTCTGCGTTGCACACATCCACTTTTACCACAAATACTCTTTTTTCTTTTTTGAGTATGGGTATAAATATTCCGAATTCTTGTAAAAATTTGAGGAGATTCATGAGGAAAGACATTTAAATAATCTTAAAACTATGGCCTGAGAACTAATAGCACAGCATCCTCTGGTCGAATAAGACAAAGTGTAACATATTCTACTTTGATTGATAGCTCAGCATGTGTGAAGACCAATAAACACAAATTTGAAGAGCTTAAAACTATTAGACATCAATTATAGTATGGGGGTGGTTCATGGTCCACAGTGACCATCATCATCTTTGGTATATTCAATAGACACGGAACTTTTTGGGGTCTCATGGACTTTAAATTGTTATCTTCAAGTATTATTCAAATTTTAGATGGGTTTGCCTCCATAAAATATTTTTATGGTAATTATAAGATTCTTGCCTCAAGAATCTCATCACATTTTTCTCAAGAATTCGGAATATTTTTGATTTTTGTTTCCGTGTTTCCTCTTAAATAGTATGTTTTATTGCATTATCATTAACTTCCTTGGAAAACGTCAATGTTTCGGCAAATATTCCGGTACGAAAATCCATTTTTGTGGACTTTTTCATATCCATGGGTATCTGAGTACATCTAAGCACGTTCCTTCCCATCCCTAATATCTAAACATTGTTTTATGGATGTTTTTATATCTAAAATTACTAAAACTAAATAGAATCAATAGTCTAATACCAAACAACTTTTAGAAACACGCTGTTTTACGAAATATATCATTTTTTATTTCGAAGTCCCTATTATTTCGCACAGCCAAAAGTCGATGAAGTACCGAAATTTTTTTATTATTTTTTTCAACCATTATACTTGGTTTTTACTTTTTGTTTATGAAATGCAAACCTAAATCTACTGATAAAAATTAAGATCACCGCAAAATTTCAGAAAATATTCATTTAATAGAGCATTTTCTGAAGCATGGCCAAGTGTTCTTATTATAATAATATAATAATTATTAATCACATGGCTGTAAATACAGTTTATTTTATGAAGATACCATCATTCTGATGCTCGTTACTCTGCTCAAAACTTATGTCTATACTTTATTGTAATCCATGTAACATGTGTGACGATTTCAATCAGAATATTAAGATAACTTTTTATCACTCCAGCTATTGAATTTTTTTAAAGAGAAAATATATAGTACTACAAAGCGACTGTTTAATAGTTTACGACTCACTGTGGATGTGCAGTGTACAGTGCAAGTCTACTTCGAAAAAATCGCAAGTAGAAGTAGCAGCAAGCAGTAAAAAGTCAACAGACCAAGTGGGCTGTTTTCTGCTTTGTTTTTTGCTTCGGCTGCGAAGACTGCGGCACCCAAATCCCAAATGGGGAGTGGGCGTGGTTTTCTTGGAAAAACTTTGGTATTTTCAACAACAAAACGGCATATTTTGCATATTATATCTTTAATAAGCTTAGAATATTGCCCTCAAGTATTAACAGAATTTACTGACACAAAAACTATTTATTACGAATGTTTCAGATCTGTATTTCTTTTCTAAGTGGGCAATCTTTTGACAGGTCATGGAGGATCCCAACCGCATGATGGCTCACGCTGGTGGAATGATGGCACCACAGGGCTATGGCTTATCTGGTCAGGACGATGGCCAAAATGCAGGCAGCGAGAACGAAGTCCGGAAGCAAAAGGACATAGGCGAGATATTGCAACAAATCATGAGCATCTCTGAGCAGTCTCTGGACGAGGCACAGGCTAGGAAGCACACGCTGAACTGTCATCGAATGAAGCCGGCTCTATTCTCGGTACTGTGCGAAATTAAGGAAAAAACTGGTAAGTTGCCCTCAATAACACAATCGAACTGAAAATGTCCAAGTCTGTCCGGAAAAGTTCAAACTGTATGTATCGTTTTCAGACTCGTGTGATATCACACTGCTACAAGTGTATTTCAAAATTTCTCCTTGCCCAGTGGCATCCTCAATTTTGAAGAAAACGCAGTATAGTAGAGAATGACCATATCTACCAGATTGCCGAATCTGGTTCAGATCGGAATATCAATACAGCCAGAATGTGGTGGGCTATCCCCACTCCCTCCGCTTAATCGCTATTCATTCTCTTTCTCGATCGCACACTCTGCCTCGTTCATTGTTCGAGCGCCTTTTAGCGGAGGAGATGTAAAATCCTCATGGACGATGCCGATTTAGATGACAGATGTAGCAAAAAATGTAATCTGATAAATTTAAATATTTTAAAATTCCACATAAGGCTGGGCCAAAATTTGACCAAACAATTTTTGTTTTTGTTTTTCAATTGGACACCCCCCCAATTCTGTTCTGTGTTATTCGATAAAATTATACAATATTTTTCAAAATTTGTAGTTTAAAGTTTGGGGGTTGCTACCACGAAAAACAAATATACAAATTTTTGGGTAAATATACATTAAAAAAAAAATTGAATTCGTCGGTTTTTTTCAAATAATATTGAAACTTAGCAACTAGTTCATATAGATAATAAGGTATTTTTATTTTTTTTTAGTTACTGTTAAAAAATTAACGATTGGTGAAAATCAAGAAGTTCAGATGAGGTTGATATATTTAGTTAACTAAACTCGCCAAAACTTGTGAAGGTTTTTTACTGCCAATATATATGCAATAGATTTTACCAATTATCCACTCATTCAGCAACAAAATTTTATTTCTTGATTAAATTTTTTTGTAAAATTCGGTAGCAACCTCTAAAAAATTAAAAAAAAACGAGAAGGAACGTGCGAGTCGCTTCTGGGGACGCGACTCTACTTATACCCGTACTCAGTCAGTATATACATTTTTGATCTTATGATTTTTTAGAATTTTAGAAAAAAAAAAAATTTTACATTTTTTTGCTACATCTGATATCTACATCTACATCTACAATGTATATTCTACATCTAACATGTAGATTGTACAATGTACATGCTCCATTTAGATTCTACATCTCCTCCGCTAGGGGTTGCTCGCGCACTGAACGCGGCAGAGTGTGCGAGCGAGAAGGAAAATGAGTTTCGGAGTCGTCGTCGGGAGGGGGGACAGGGGAAGCAACTGAAAATTAATTTCTTCATTCTGGCTATAAATATGATCCGATCTGATTCAGATTCGGCAGTCTGGTAGGTATGGGCATTCTCTACGATACTGCGTTTTTAGTTTTATCGTATCTTTACAAATGTGCCTGCCACAGATTTTCGTCCTTTGTGGGGGCGGAAGGGGGCGGGTCGAAATTTTGAAATACACTTGTAGCAGTGTGATATCACATGAGTGTGGAAACCAAATTTGGTTGCCCTAGCTCTTATAGTCTCTGAGATCTAGGCGCTCAACAAGACGGACAGACAGACAGACGGACAGACGGACAGACAGACATGGCTCTATCGACTCGGCTATTGATGCTGATCAAGAATATATATACTTTATGGGGTCGGAAACGTTTCCTTCTCTGCGTTACACACATCCACTTTTACCACAAATCTAATATACCCC